CGTACCAAAAGCCACTGCCATGGGGTTTATGGTACGAAATTTATCAATTATGTGAGGCGTGAATCAACTGCTGAGTTCCCATAAGGATTTAACCACTAACCCTTTGAAGCCGAATCTAGTCTAAATCGTATTTAAGGATTCAGACCGTACCGCGAAGAAAACACCGCACTTCACCATTACAAAGATCAACTGGTTAACGCTGTTTAAAGAAATGATCGCTGTTTATTCTGAAAAAATCATACGAAACACATAAAAAAATGAAAAGTTGTTGATTGTTTAAGCGGGTGGTACATATAGTTACCATTAACTTTAAAGGACTTGTGATTTTTGTATGAATCTGAGAGATTATTTCCTTAAACAGCGTTAACCAGTTGATCTTCGTAATGGTGAAGTCCGGTGTTTTCTTCGCGGTACGGACCAAATTCTTAAATGTTATTTAGACTAGATTCGGTTTCAAAGGGGCGATTACATTCTATTCAAGTAAATGTATCGATGGAACAATAATATTGAAGCGGTTCTTAAAGGGATAGGATGCAAGGACGTGGATTGGATTCAAGTGGCTCAGGACAAGGGCTCGTAACGAGAATCTACGAACACGGTAATGAAACATTCGTAGAACTTTACAGACTAAGCTACTTTCAGTCCGTAAATAAGGACACAAATCTAAGGGGTTACTTAGTATGCAATTTTGCAAGCTTAAGTACTTCATTTATATCATAGAATTTAACGCCGCTTACATAATTACGTAAGCTTTCTTAGTTTATGCCAGTTTGCAGGCAACAAACGCACGCAAGTCTAATCAGAACGTTTAACTGTTTACCGCACTTTAATCGACGTCAAAATTATGGTACATCGTGGAATCAGTGCATTCGAACTGTAACATCGCACATAATAAACCATTTCCGGTCATTATGCGCGCAGACGAAGTATTCCAGCTTCCTCGTTTATAAATTCCTCTCATAACGCGACGCTTTTGTCAGAACCAGAAGTTGCGTTTTTGCGGTGTACAGGGCAGTCGACAATTCTGATCACGGAAACTTGAAATAGTGGAACACGTGGCTGGTTGGCTGGCCTGGATTGATTGACTGCTGAAAACAGGTGCGGGGACGGGCCCCGACAGGAACTGGATGATGCCAAGCCTCACGGAACCCTTTCAGCTTTCGAGCAGCAAAAGTTCTCTCACACGTTCGTCCTGAGTTCCTTCGCTGCTGGACTAAGATTTCGTTTTTTTCAAAAGTTATACTTTTGTTCAACATTTGTCCGACCTACGTGAAATACTGACGAAGCAAACTGAGACAATCTGCCCACCTCCCTAGTACAAAGCCCGAAGTTTTGGGAACGCTCTGTATCAGCAGCGAAGCCAATTTACTCGATACAAGGTCAATAAATACTTTTCGCCTAGAAGCAGCATTACATTCAACACACGGGAAGACACAGACACAGGCCTGCATAGACCATCAGTCAATAGTAAGATATTCGAGGGCTGACTTCTGTCAAGACCAGCTCACGGCAAGCAATACGCCGCAGACATTTCACAAGACTCACTCAGCAAAAACGTCAACATCGAATAA